TTGTTATAAACACCTAAGCAAATCTCCCAAGCTACGATTGACAACCTCAATTTGTTCATTAGTTTGAGGATGAAAGACAGAGGAAAACTTAAGACTAGTCTCAAAGAGCTTCAAAAGTGTCTTCCAAAAATAACCCACAAACTTGACATCCCTTGCAGACACAATGGAAATAGGCAGCCCATGTAGTTGAATGACCTCTCGAAAGAATAACTTTGCTACGTGTGAGGCATTAGTAGACTTAGTACAAGGAATGAAATGGGTCATCTTAGAAAACCAATCCACGACAACTAGTATGTAATCATGACTACGGGCTATTTTAGGCAACCTAAGACAAAATCCATAATAAGGTCTATTCATGGTGTGTGTGGAACTGGTAATGATGTATACAACCCAGTAGTTTGTTTCCTAATCTTTGCTAACTGACAAGTACGATATTGTGACACTATCCTATTAATGTCATGCCTCAAAGTGAACCAATAAAACATGTCCTCAACAAGTGCAAATGTCTTAACCTTACCACTGCCAGACCTCCCGCATGTAATTCCCAAATCAGGAAATTCCTAAGTGAAATACGAAAAATACATAGTCGCGACCCTCTAAACAAATAACCATCTCTAAGGCGGAAGTCAATGTACTCATAATGATTACCAGCCTGAACATCTTGAAAAATGATATCAAAGTCAGGACAAGAGACATACTCATCTCTAATCCTATCAAATTCAATCACATGGACACTCATAGTTTGTAAAACAGTAACTATACGGCTAAGAGCATTCGCGGGCTTGTTTTCTATGCCTACTCGGTGGTGAAGAACAAAAATATACTCTTGAAAGAATTCAACTCACCTAACGTGCCTAACATTCAACTTTCTTTGGGAGTAAAGATATTTCAATGCCTGATGATCAGAATACAACACAAACTCATATGGCAATAGATAATACCTCCAATTGTGGAGAGCTTGCACAATAGCGTAGAACTCTTTATCATATGTAGAGTATCATTGTTTAGCATCATTGAATTTTTCACTGAAGTAAGCAATAGGATGACCTTTGTGACTAAAAACTCCACCTATGCCTACACTAGATGCATCAAAGGCAACCTCAAACACCTTCGAAAAATTTGGATGTCGTAGGACATANAGGATGACCTTTGTGACTAAAAACTCCACCTATGCCTACACTAGATGCATCAAAGGCAACCTCAAACACCTTCGAAAAATATGGATGTCGTAGGACATATGCTTCTGTCATCTTGTGCTTAATTTCTTGAAAGGCTCTAGTTGTAGCAAGAGTCCATTGAAACTCCCTTGTTTCATGCATTCTGTGATTAGAGTAATAATTAAACGAAACCCCTTAACAAATTATCTATAGAAGGTGGCCAAGCCATGAAAGTTTCGAACCTCAAAAATTGTTCTTGGACCTGACCACTTCCTAATAGCACATATTTTCTCTAGGTTAGTTGCAATGCCAAGTGCAAAAATAACAAATCTAAGAAAACGTACTGGAGTTTGCATAAAGGAGAACTTATTAAGGTTCGCATAGAATTTTTTCACACGTAGTATCTGCAAAATCTGTCGAAGATGATCTGAGTGCTCTCCTTTAGACTGTGTATAAGGATGTCATCAAAATAGACTACCACAAATTTTCCTAGGAAAGGATAAAGTATCTGACATAAATGTGTTAGGTGCATTAGACAACCCACAAGGCATGACCAACCACTCATAAAGTCCGTCTTGGGTTTTTAAAGGCAGTTTCTCAGTCATTTCTTGGTCTAATTTGGATTTGATGATAACCACTATGCAAATCAATTTTGGAACACCAAAGTACATCGGCCAAGCATATCCTCAAGTTTCGGCATAGGAAATCGATATTTTACTATAATTTTGTTAATGACACGGCTGTCAACACACATTCTCCAAAATGACAAATGATTCTTAATTCCTATGTCTACACCTACTATAACAAAATACAATCAGATCCCTATCGCATACATGTCGCATTATTGGTCATATTCCTTGTTACTCTTAAATTCTTAGATAAGATTCTATCATTTTATACCCACCATAAAAAATAAATCAATTTTTTGAGGAACTTCAATTCTCCAAATCCAATCCCAATTAATGTTCTGGGTTACGTCTCTCTGGGGGACCATGTAGACAAATTATACGCAATTTTGGTTGTGAATTTACCTTTACTTAACTGACCCTCGTCAATGAGAATCCTGAAATTCGCCAGGTGGGGGAATTGGAGTGCAACAAATCAAGTAGAAAAGAGTGAGGTAGAATCATACCTGCCCCCTGAAGTTTCCAATTACCTTTTTCATCAATGAAATCTGCCACTTTGTTGTTGAGATTTACCATTGGAGGGAGGTTGACATAAGATCATATAGGTTCTTCTCCAAACCACCAATCTATCCAAAAACTAATGTGTACCATTTCCTACCAACCATTTCATTCCCTGATCAATTAGACTTTTGGTTCTGGAAATGGCTCCCCAAGAAGGAGATGTTAAAAAAAAAAAAAGGAGATTTTGTAGTTTTAGATCCCTAGTTCTAGTTATTTTGATTAATGTATTTATTCTTGATAACCTCTACCCAAAGTGCATTATCATTGCTCTTGACTTTCCAACCCAGTTTTGTCAGTAAGACTATATTTTTTTTCTATACTCTTCCTGAATCTTAGTCGACCTTGCTTCTTGGAGGTACACACTTTTTCCAAATTAACTAGGTGGACTTTTTTCTTTTCTACTATATCTCCCACAAAAAATTCCTATTAAGTCTATCAACTTGTTCATAGGTGGATTAAGGCAACCAATTGGTTTGCATAACATAATTAGGCAGGGTGGAGGTGACAACTTTGATTAAAGTAGTTCTACCTACTATTGAAAGAGTTCTAGCCTTTAATCTTGATAACTTGTTTTGAATTCTCTCTATGATGAATTTAAAATGCTCTTTAGATTCTCTTTTGTGCATTATTGAGATTCCTAAGTCTTCTGTAAGAGTGACCTCACATTTTCTACTTAGGTAAAGTGCATGACTTTTAATAATGTTGGATGAGATGAACACCTTAGACCTTTTAGAACTAACTTTTTGTCCTAACTTCTTACAAAAATCCTCCAAGACTTCTTTGATCATGATACAATCCCTCTCAGTTGCCCTAGAAAAGAGAATGATGTCATCTGTGAAGAATAAGTGTGTGACTACTGGCCATTACTGGAGGCTTTAAGTCCTTTCCAACAGCCTTGATTGACTTTTTTAGGAATTAATTGGCCAAGTCTCTCCATGCATAACACAAACAGGTATGGTGAAAGGGGGTCTCCCTGTCTAAGTCCCCTCTTAGGTTCTATTGGTTCTAGAGGAGTTCCATTTCAAAGAATAGACAAAGAAGAACCTGTAACACAACTCATGATAATTTCCACCCATGCTTGGGGAAACCTAAAATCGATCACAAAGTTTGGTAAAGAAAGTCTCAACTTATTCTGTCATATGCTTTCTCTAGATCGATTTTAATTACCATTCCTCCTATTCTCCCTTTCTTTCTTCTTAGAGTATGAGCAATCTCTTAAGTGATAATCACATTATCTACAATCTGCCTTCTTGGGATTAAAATACTCATTAACATGTTTTATGCACTTCTTAGGCAATGCAGCTACATGAGAGACTCAATGACTTGAGTCCCCTTAGATGGACTTATAATGACTTGAATCCTGGAAGGAAACTTATTTGGGGGTAAGTCCATGTTTAAACTTATATGTAGGTACTTAAGTCTACTTATTTTTTAAATTTCAAAATTACCCATAATGGTGTTAGTTTTGTCCAGTTATGAAAAATCGCATAGGTTATATTATTGAGATATATATGAAAACCCTTAACTGAGTTATATATAAAAACTGTTTATTAAATATTATAATAATTAACGAAAGTTTTATATGAAAATTATATATTCTAATAGTTATATATGAAAAGTTTGATGTACGAATAAACTGTTGTTCTATTAAGTCTAAATCAGATCACAAAATTTCCTTAACAACAGTAATGCAGAATATAAGGAGGCTAGACAATGTCAACAGAATTCAATAACACGAATGTTAATATATAGTAACATTCATATTACTATATGATTGAAGTTACAATTAAGGTGGTGTTACTATACTGACACTAATGTTATTATAGTAACACAAATATTACTATAGAAATACGATGTTACTGTACGTACGAATGTCATAGTAACATCAAAGGTTTGCGCTCAGTAACACATTGACTTTTACAAAATATATGTCCATATGTGAAGGAGACGTTTCTCAAATGTCGTTTTATAACATTTCTATATGGAATAGTTACAATAGTAAAATTGACAAAAAACGGACTTAAAACTAAATAAGTTTCCTTGACAGACTTATCTCCAAATAAATCTATATAGGGAGACCGGCCTCCAAAGCTCTCTTAAATTTACTTTCATGTTTTTGGCTTGGAGCACAGGTAGGCTGTTCTAGTTGTGCTCTAAAGGCTTTAATTTATATATCATGGAACATATGTGAGAGACTCTAACTATTATGAGTTTATGACTACGCGCGGTAGGTTTCTCTTAAAAAAAATTTAAGTAGTAAATCGTCCTATGTGCCTTTTGAATTCATTAATGCAATTGAGATATCGTTGCATGTGATCACCAAAGAACTATACAGACCAATTACACATCTGAGTTTTATGCGAGAAAAAGCTCGGACTCGGTACCTATGAGTTTATGTCTGGCCTCAATCGGACTCAAACACTTCTAGAAGAAGAGGCTCATTGTAATTTTCTTGCAAAATATCATGTACTGTCATCTATTTCATAACACACGGATCATAAACAAATACTTAAAATAAAATATGTTATTAAAAAAAAATTCAATTGAAATCATACAAATTACACACCTTCATTGTCCATTAACATACTTGCTGGTAAGCTGTTACTTCACAAGCTATATATAGAAACCCTAGTTTTTTATTCTCCTGCCTCAGTACTTATGGCTTAAGAAGCTCCTCCAACAACTTATTATCCAGATACTCAAACTCAATAACTCTCTCTTCTTCTCCCTTAGGTAATTCCCCCGTACCCGAATTCTCTACAGGAGCAATGGAAGACAAAGACGAAGATGAAGACAAAGAAATAGAAGGTAAACTTGGTCCCGGGCCTGGACTCCTATAATGGCTGTCATTTGGGAAGTTGAGGATAGCTTGATGACCCCTTAAACTGTATGCAGCGCGGTCATATGCCCGCGCTGCATCTTCAGCCGTGTCAAACGTGCCTAGCCACAATCGTGCCCCGTTCCTGGTTGGGTCACGTATCTCAGCTGCGTACTTACCCCATGGCCGCTTACGTATCCCCCTGTACTTGATCTCTCTCCTTCCCTTCTCTATCGACTGCTCTCCTTGAGGTGCTTCCATGTAATTAAGGATATGATGACAATTGAATTTTTCTGTGATTTCAAATATGGTGGCAAATATATGACAAGTTAACAGGATACAGTGGCTATATAGGTTTGTCCAAAGTGGTTGTTGGGTCAGATCTGACGGTTGGAATCTGTCCAGCCACCATGGTAATGGATCATTTCGAGGCAACTTCTGTAAAAGGAAAGTACAATTTCGTTTTCACCATGTTGTAGACTTTATCACATTGTGCACGTTGATACATACATATTCAATGGTTTTGCTTTTCCATTTTCTTTTTTATTAGAGGTTGGTTAAATTTGTGTCGAAAATTTCTTTGAGTTAAATAGTCGATCATTGTAGTAGTTTGAACTAAATTAGAACATATTCTTAAAAATACTAAACATGACAAACATTCCATTGTAACACGACATATTGCCAACATTATCAACCAAAACACCTACACAAACGCCTACACATTTAGCAATTTGCATAATAAAAAACCCTTCCAATCACTTTTTTATTTAGTTTACCTTTGAATGCATGCATGTTTCCTAATGCACGCAATGATCAAACCTGATTTTATTGACTCCCACAAACAATTGTTCTTGTGGGCTCAAAATATTGGGCAGATTGTACTCTCCGACCTCAAAGATTTCAATATTTTTATTTTGCATTTTTAAAGATTGATTTTTTTATATTATATCCTTAATATATAAAAAGTATTACAATGTGACTATTTTATTAATTTTTCGTTAATTTTTTCGTCAACGTTAATAAATTAACTTTTGACAGAAAAAATAACATAAGTTAATAGAAGAGTCGCATTATAATACTTTTGATAAATTTAACATATAATATAAGAAATTTAATATTTAAGGTTTCAAAATAAAAAATTTAAAAGTACAAAATACGAAAGCCCTATTTTCTGAAATCACGGTCAAGCACTACTTGTGGCTGTGTTTTCTGAAATCATGGTCAAGTACTACTTTTGACCATTGTTCGTACGAATGAATTTATAAATCAATAATACTACTCAAATGTAATTTATTAATTTAATTTATCGTAACTATTGAATTATTATTATGAATCTCAATAAATATTAGGATTAGATTACATGATCAATAAAATAATTATGAATAATTATATTAATAAATTAAGTCAATAAATTATATTTAAATAACATTGCTTTAAACAAATAATGCATGCTATTATAAATAAACTTTTGGGTCTAATTATGGTATCAAAACATAATTTTACTTAATGATTACAAATGAAGCAAATTAAAATTGAATAATGCTAGATAGAGTTAAAAATTACACTTAAAAATTAGACTTAATAATCTCAACTATTGAATAGATAGTGGGTCCCAATAAATATTGGGACCCACAATAAAATCAATGGTTGACATTATCAAATTTTATTTTTAAGTGTACTTTTTAAATTCATGCAGCATTGCTTATTAAAATTGGAAATAAAAAATGAGAGATTTATCACTCATAAATATCCTAATTCCGACGTAGTTAACTTATATTTGATCAAACACCCCTAACAATTTAAAAAAAAAAAAAAAAGAGGATGGCATTATATTTCCGCACCACATTTGGTCGATATTACAAAAGATGGATGGAGGACTAAGTTCCAAAGCTATTGTCCAAGTAAATATACAGGTTCATGCACCATTGCCATGAAAGTCACTGTCAATATCCTCATGTTATGCACCATTGCCATGAAAGTCACTGTCAATATCCTCATGTTTAATAAAATGGAAATCACACTGCCCAACTGTACCTAGTTTTTGCTTAAACCCGGAACACGTTTAAATTTTTCTAATGTGACAAGAAACTAAAATTATGTCTATGCAGAAAACAGATTCTAGAAAATAAAAACGAAGATAATAAAAAGTGTGTCAAGCCTTTTTAGAAAGAGATTGATGACAAATTAGAGTAGCTTGAAAGGATTAATTCGTTGTCTATTCATAATCCAATTAGTGACAATTCAGAAAATTATTGAACATACATGGTGACTATTCAAGAGAATCAGACAAAACAGTCACATTTTAGAAGTTACTTTCAAATTTAAATATAATCATTCGATTGTACCTTCTTAACGATCTACGGTCTAGATCTGAGTAATTGGATATTTAACTTGATCATTGATCACTCATGAAATGCATCATCCGATCGTATGTATTTTTGAAATTGACCATTTGATCAAAAATAATGAACAATTAATGATCGTGATCTGATCACTCCTCACTGCGATGTTTACGTGTCAAATGCGCTTATGCTCACACGTGCACTTTCATACATACTAATATTTTTAGCACTAAAGTACAAGCATGTGATAGGTGTCTATTAATAAACGCATTCTTTTTCTTATCACCTTCCAATATACCCATAATTTTAAAAAATTTACAACATCCTATAGTTCTCTCTTTTGACCAATGCTACGACTGCCCTGGCTCTAAAAATTCATCCATGTTACACTAGTCTATCGAGGTAGGCTATGAACAGAACGGAGGAAGAAGTGAAAGAAGAAGAATGCTTCAAAAGCATAAGGTGGTGGGACCCATTTTTAAATTGTTTAGATTACTTAAAAATTAAAGTAACCTAATTAAGTTTAAAAAAAAACTCTATAAACTGAGACCTTTCCCACTGCTAGCCTAATTCTAAGCATTATGTGACCTCAGCCAATTTATCCTTTTTTAGTTCTATCGGATTAATGTACATTCAAGTTGACTAATTTCTTAACCAATTCAGTCAAAGGTAATTTATCGACATTAAGATTAGAATATTTATTATGAATAAATTTTCTCATGACATAATCTCAAGTGATTGATAAAATTTGAACTCAGGAGGTCACTCAATTTTTGCAATCCCAAAACAATAATACACACATTATATATGTTTATATGAATATATATAGGTGACTAATACATACATGCAATATGGTTTTCATAGGAGTATTATGCAGATAACGTGTCTCCATCAAACTGTCGCACCCCTTTGTCTAAGGATGACTTTCAACTTGAGAAAGCCAAGAGTCATGAGACCTTTGAATGGAAGGGTGTATGAATCTAGACCATTTCCAATGAAACATAGCACCATTCTATATGTCTGTTGTGCGTGCAAGATCCTGCACAATATAAAAAACGAGAACAGATCTCTTCTTTGGTGAACTCGAGTGAGCCAGTTGAGTGACCAACCACGTTGCTTGGAACAGCCTGCGAGGTCCAGTGGTAACCTGGAACGGCAACGGGAGACCTTGGGGGAGCAGAAGAACGATCCAGTAGAGCTGAAAGAGGTTCCTGGAACAAAGAAGAACAAGTTAGAAGGGCGCCGGAGTGTTTTCCGGCGTATCCCCTCCGACGATCTAGTCAGTCTTTGAGAAAGAGAGAGGAAGGAGAAAACACTGAGTGTGTATTGTAATAAAGAGTTTTTTGTTGCATACCCGTCTTGCCTTTTGCAAGGAGTATTTATACCTCAAAAGCTCATGATTGCTGTCAGTGTAGTCAGTAGGTGATCATTAGGTACAGGTAGTGTGCGCACTGATTCTGATGAGGAATGTCTTCTCTTCTTAACTGCTCGGGGTCCCGAGCAATCAATGCTGGGTCATCGGGATGCCGACGGTACAATGTACTCCTCTCGGGGAGGATGCAATAAATGCTCTGTATTAGGAGCATTTATTGCCTTTCATTTCCGAGCCTTACCGCATTGAATGCGGTCTCATCAAGGGAATGGTG